TGGCACAATCTTGGCTCACTGCAACCTCTGCCTCCCGGGTTCAAGTGATTCTCCTGCCTCAGCCTCCCGAGTAGCTGGGATTACAGGCTCCCACCACCATACTTGGCTAATTTTTTGTATTTTTAATAGAGACTGGGTTTCACCATGTTGGCTAGGCTGGTCTTCAACTCCTGACCTAGTGATCCACCCGCCTCGGCCTCCCAAAGTGCTGGGATTACAGGTATGAGCCACCGTGCCCAGCTACCTGGCTTATCTGTAAAAAATTTTGTAGAAACGGTATCTTGCCATGTTGACCAGGCTGGTGTCGAACTCCTGTGATCTGCCTGCCTCAGTCTCCCAAAGTTCTGGGTTTACCAGCATGAGCCATCATGCCAGGCCCAGACCTAATTTTTAACCAGAGTTTATGAGAAGAGAATTAGCTTTAATTTTTATTGCCTTAATGCACTCTCATCCCATAGGAAGGTAGTTTGATACAGTAGAAGGAACAATGGACCAAGAATTGGAAATTCTGAATTTAAGTTGTGGGCAAGTTACTTAACCTCTCTGGGTCTCACATTTCTTTTCTGAAAAATGAGTGGGCTGGACTGAAGATTCCTTCCATCTCTAAAATTCTTTTATTCTATATGGTAACACATTCCACAGCATTTCCTTTGTGACCAGAATTAGTCTGTGACTTCCTACCTCAAGTATCCCTTTTGCCCTCTTTGAATGTTAAACCAAATATGAACAAGAAGCAATAACATTTTGTCACAGCCAACAAATTGCCCTTCCACAGAATGACCTTTGGAGGTCAGGCCACCCATTGCAATATCTAAATCCAAAAGGCAATGCTATGACCAATTTGTGAACTGGCAGGCTGCCATCCAAAAGGATGGAAATGGTTGTAGGCAGCCAAAATTCTTGGCTGGTACATTTTTAATAAACATAGAAAATAAGAACAGCATTTTCCACTTGGATTGCTTAATTTGGTGCCCATACCATTGGAACATTTGCTGTTAGAATAAAGATGATGTGATATATCACTTATTTAGCGCAGGATGGATTAACTTTCACAAATGAGAAGTAGGTTATGGAGTCATCTGTAAGGAATTTTTATCCTTGTTTCTTGTGTCTGGCAGGAGATAGCTTGAGTCATTACAGCACTCTCTCCACCCCTTTTGGCCCTTTGTAAGTTTTCCCTGAAACATAAGCTCTGTCGGATTTACTGTATTGCTATGAATGGACTAAGGCAAATTGGTGTGACTTCTTTTTGGTCAATTATGTTTTATTAATACTTTTCCAAGATGGTTCAGTATATCTTAATTTTTCCAAGAAAAAAGTCTCTACAGCACATGTTTAAATACTTGAGGTATGTGTTTCAAACTACAGGGAGAAACTTTTGTAAGACAATGACCCTCATAGTTGGTAGCTATGATTTTTAATCATGCCTGTTGCACTGATTGATTCAGTTACTTGAGCTCTGTTTCCCTGTCTCTACTTGCAATATGGCAACTAGGACATTTGACTGGCAAGTTTGTTTTCTCTCCAGTGCTTGGAGATCCTTGAATAAAATGTCCTCTGTAATGGTAAGCTGTAATTAGATACGTGGGTGGAAATTAGCGTTCTTCAAGTACACCATGTTTAAGGCAGAGGCATCATGCTTTCTGCTACCTGAGGCCACCTTGATCCTGTGCCATAGCTCTAGGTCACTGCTTCTATAGGGCTGTTGGTCTAAGGCTGCCAGTTCCAAAAAGAAAATAACTCGGTATTGAGCTCTGAAACCAGGAAGCTTTTTTTATTTTTTATTTTTGAGATGGAGTCTTGCTCTGTCACCTAGGCTGCAGTGCAGTGGTGTGATCTGAGCTCACTACAACCTCCTTTTCCCGGGTTCAAGTGATTCTCTTGACTCAGCCTCCCCAGTAGCTGGGATTACAGGCATGCACCACCACACTCGGCTATTTCTTTCTTTTTTTTTTTTTGTATTTTTAGTAGAGACAGGGTTTTGCCATGTTGGCCAGGGTGGTCTGGAACTCCTGACCTCAGATGATTCACCCGCCTCAGCCTCCCAAAGTGCTGGGATTACAGGTGTGAGCCACCGCACCCGACTGAAACCAGGAAGCTTTTTTATGGTTAAAAATGGGCTACACAGTTCTATTACAGGCAAGTCAGGCATTGACCGTGGATCACTATAACTTGTCTTTTCATTTGGAAGTGTACATTATCCCAACCTTTATAACTATCTTTTGAATGGTACCTGCATCTTAAAACAAAACACCAAAACTTTTGAACGGATTCCTGGAGTCATGGCAGGTCCTCCATTTTGGATGAGATCCTTCAGCAATAGGATCCCTGTAGCAACAATCCTTTCTCATCCTCATCTTTTATACAGAAAGTACATCCCTGTCTTCGGGACTAAAAGGGGGCTGTAATTCGTACAGTTAAAATTTTTATTATTGGATTTGTTTTTAGATTAAAAAAAAAAAAAAACAAAAACAAAACCTCAACAACAACTATCAATTCTGGCTTCCTGGATGCCCTCCTCCCCGACTTGACTTGAAATTGCCTTGCCAGTATTTTATATCTACTTTTTAAGGGAGGTGACTTCAAGACCATTGGGAATGACGGAAGATTTAAAATTATCATTAGTTCCTCTTTCTCCCCGCCCCTGCCCGGGATTCCCTCTGCTAATGACGCTGGAAAGCGGTTCCACTGGCTGCGTTTCTCTTCTTCCACTCTTACGGCAACACACGGTTCCGCGCGCGTCTCCGGCGACTGCGTTTCCCCCAGAGTCGGCTGCGTTCGTTTGGGGATGAAGTCATCCCTATACCTAGTGTGCACATCAGCTTGTTCCATCGGCGCAGCACGCTGGGATTCCTCGGGAAGGAGCGAAGGGAACAATGATGACCATATTTTCCATTTATATGCCCCTCCTCAACTCCGCAGGAATCGCTGGGCGCAGCCGCGGCGGGGTCGGGCGGTTGGGCTCACCGGGATGCCCCCCGATTCCCTCGTCCCAGTCCTGAGACCGCAACAGGGCGGGCTGAGCACTCGCCCCGCGCGAGGCACTCGGCCGCGAGCCGACCCCGAGTCTCCTGGCCCGATCTGTATAAGAGACAGGAGCAAGAGTCCGTCTTAAAAAAAAAAAAAAAAAAAAAGCATGGGTGAAAGTTTATCTGAGGGAAAGTTGAGGGGTCTATATACTTGATGTTAAGAACAGAGTATATTTCTTTTGATGAATAGTTTTCTCTTTAATTAGAGAAGTCATTCACTCATTTATTCATTCACCTTTTAAATACCTAGGTGCCTACATGATGGGCCAGCCACTGGGCCTTGGGCTGGCAACCCTTATGAGAGAAGAGTTCAAATGATTTCCACAATTCAGCCAAGCCAACACAACCTCAGCTAATTTTTGGTTTTTGATTTTAATTGTTTAGAGACAGAGTCTGTCTCTCAGGCTGGAGTGCAGTGGCCAGATCATAGCTCACTGCAGCCTCGAAGCCTCGAATTCCTGGCTCAAACAATCTTCTTGCCTCAGCCTCCTGAGTAGCTGGGACCATAGGAGTGTGCTACGATACCTGGCTCTTTGGCTCTTTTTTTTTTCTGAGATGGAGTCTTGCTCTGTCGCCCAGGCTGGAG